GGGGGGGGGGGGGTACTTTTTTGACAATGTTGTTGGCAAGTGAGAAGGAGGAGTCAAAATCATTTGACATCACCAATTCTAATTCTCTTTGATATTTATATAAAAATCATATATAGGTCTAGATAACAAATAAATTGATGGCCTGTGTATCTAAAACTCCTACGACCACACTGAAAGTGGGCTTACACAATATAGGCCTAATCAATACTAATATGATTTATGTTAATGATAGTTTGAGCATGTAGAAAATTCGTGAACATTCAAGATTTAGACTGAGTGAAGCCCTTAGCTATACAAAGTCCAGGGGCCCCTTATTGTTTTAAATTACATCAGCTGGTCAAATTAAAATATAACACATTTAGCAGGCAGAATGTGGGGCCCTAAAGTGTAGCTTGTTTAGCAGATAGGTAAATCCGGCACTGTTCGTGAATACATAATATATTGAAAGTTGCATTTTATTTTGCTTTCCCACTATTGATTGATTAAATGATTTTTAAAAGACTTTGATTAGATGAGGCCTACCGTTTTCGGTATATGCCGGTATTTTTTTGGGGCTGTTTTGCGTAATTTCTAAAAAATAGATGTAATTTTCTCTCATTAAATTAAATATTAGGCCTTTAAACAGAGGCGCAGCGAGGGTGTTTGGCGCCCGGGGACAAGATTCGTGCCCGGGACAAGATCCATTTTAAACAGCCCCCTTTTCTTTTTTTTCAAATTTCGAACCCATTATTTTTACCAATAATAATAATATGATATCAAAGCACATTTTGGCGCCCCAAACTAGCTTGCGCCCGGGGACATCTTGCCGCCAATTTTCGAATAAATAATATTCAATGCAAATTGACATGATATATATTTTAAAAAAAATTTTTATTCAATGAATTTATTTAAGAATTAACACTCGTTTCAATCTTTACTTGTATAATTTTAAATATTCTCTCAAATATCACGGGTCCGCACGATAACCTATAAATTCCAAATAAATTATCTATTATTGTCCACGGCCATACCACGTTGAAAATACCGGTTCTCGTCCGATCACCGAAGTCAAGCAACGTCAGGCTTGGTTAGTACTTAGATGGGTGACCGCTTGGGAACACCACGTGTTGTAGACACCTTTTTGTAATTTTTTGTTTTTTGTTGAAAAAATGAGTCATCAGAAGAACCAGGCCTTGCCGCCATTTTTCGAATAAATAATATTCAATGCAAATTGACATGATATATATACATTTTTTTTAAAAATTTTATTCAATGAATTTATTTAATAATTAACACTCGTTTCAATCTTTACTTGTATAATTTTAAATATTCTCTCAAATATCACGGGTCCGCACAATAACCTATAAATTCCAAATAAATTATCTATTATTGTCTACGGCCATACCACGTTGAAAATACCGGTTCTCGTCCGATCACCGAAGTCAAGCAACGTCGGGCTTGGTTAGTACTTAGATGGGTGACCGCTTGGGAACACCACGTGTTGTAGACATCTTTTTGTAATTTTTTGTTTTTTGTTGAAAAAATGAGTCATCAGAAGAACCAGGCCTTGCCGCCAATTTTCGAATAAATAATATTCAATGCAAATTGACATGATATATTTAAAAAAAATTTTTTTTTCAATTAATTTATTTAATAATTAAAACTCGTTTCAATCTTTACTTTGGAACACCACGTGTTGTAGACATCTTTTTGTAATTTTTTGTTGAAAAAATGAGTCATCAGAAGAACCAGACCTTTCCGCCAATTTTCGAATAAATAATATTCAATGCAAATTGACATGATATATATAAATTAAAAAAAAAAATTTTATTCAATGAATTTATTTAATAATTAAAACTCGTTTCAATCTTTACTTGTATAATTTTAAATATTCTCTCAAATATCACGGGTCCGCACGATAACCTATAAATTCCAAATAAATTATCTATTATTGTCTACGGCCATACCACGTTGAAAATACCGGTTCTCGTCCGATCACCGAAGTCAAGCAACGTCGGGCTTGGTTAGTACTTAGATGGGTGACCGCTTGGGAACACCACGTGTTGTAGACATCTTTTTGTAATTTTTTGTTTTTTGTTGAAAAAATGAGTCATCAGAAGAACCAGGCCTTGCCGCCAATTTTCGAATAAATAATATTCAATGCAAATTGACATGATATATATAAATTTAAAAAAAAATTTTATTCAATGAATTTATTTAATAATTAAAACTCGTTTCAATCTTTACTTGTATAATTTTAAATATTCTCTCAAATATCACGGGTCCGCACGATAACCTATAAATTCCAAATAAATTATCTATTATTGTCTACGGCCATACCACGTTGAAAATACCGGTTCTCGTCCAATCACCGAAGTCAAGCAACGTCGGGCTTGGTTAGTACTTAGATGGGTGACCGCTTGGGAACACCACGTGTTGTAGACATCTTTTTGTAATTTTTTGTTTTTTGTTGAAAAAATGAGTCATCAAAAGAACCAGGCCTTTCCGCCAATTTTCGAATAAATAATATTCAATGCAAATTGACATGATATATATTTAAAAAAAAATTTTTTTCAATGAATTTATTTAATAATTAAAACTTGTTTCAATCTTTACTTGGGAACACCACGTGTTGTAGACATCTTTTTGTAATTTTTTGTTTTTTGTTGAAAAAATGAGTCATCAGAAGAACCAGGCCTTTCCGCCAATTTTCGAATAAATAATATTCAATGCAAATTGACATGATATATATAATTTTTTTTAAAAAATTTTATTCAATGAATTTATTTAATAATTAACACTCGTTTCAATCTTTACTTGTATAATTTTAAATATTCTCTCAAATATCACGGGTCCGCACGATAACCTATAAATTCCAAATAAATTATCTATTATTGTCTACGGCCATACCACGTTGAAAATACCGGTTCTCGTCCGATCACCGAAGTCAAGCAACGTCGGGCTTGGTTAGTACTTAGATGGGTGACTGCTTGGGAACACCACGTGTTGTAGACATCTTTTTGTAATTTTTTGTTTTTTGTTGAAAAAATGAGTCATCAGAAGAACCAGGCCTTGCCGCCAATTTTCGAATAAATAATATTCAATGCAAATTGACATGATATATATAATTTTTTTTAAAAAATTTTATTCAATGAATTTATTTAATAATTAACACTCGTTTCAATCTTTACTTGTATAATTTTAAATATTCTCTCAAATATCACGGGTCCGCACGATAACCTATAAATTCCAAATAAATTATCTATTATTGTCTACGGCCATACCACGTTGAAAATACCGGTTCTCGTCCGATCACCGAAGTCAAGCAACGTCGGGCTTGGTTAGTACTTAGATGGGTGACTGCTTGGGAACACCACGTGTTGTAGACATCTTTTTGTAATTTTTTGTTTTTTGTTGAAAAAATGAGTCATCAGAAGAACCAGGCCTTGCCGCCAATTTTCGAATAAATAATATTCAATGTAAATTGACATGATATATATTAAAAATTTTTTTTTTTTATTCAATGAATTTATTTAATATTTAACACTCGTTTCAATCTTTACTTGGGAACACCACGTGTTGTAGACATCTTTTTGTAATTTTTTGTTTTTTGTTGAAAAAATGAGTCATCAGAAGAACCAGGCCTTGCCGCCAATTTTCGAATAAATAATATTCAATGTAAATTGACATGATATATATTAAAAATTTTTTTTTTTTATTCAATGAATTTATTTAATATTTAACACTCGTTTCAATCTTTACTTGGGAACACCACGTGTTGTAGACATCTTTTTGTAATTTTTTGTTTTTTGTTGAAAAAATGAGTCATCAGAAGAACCAGGCCTTGCCGCCAATTTTCGAATAAATAATATTCAATGTAAATTGACATGATATATATTAAAAATTTTTTTTTTTTATTCAATGAATTTATTTAATATTTAACACTCGTTTCAATCTTTACTTGGGAACACCACGTGTTGTAGACATCTTTTTGTAATTTTTTGTTTTTTGTTGAAAAAATGAGTCATCAGAAGAACCAGGCCTTGCCGCCAATTTTCGAATAAATAATATTCAATGCAAATTGACATGATATATATAAATTTTAAAAAAAAATTTTATTCAATGAATTTATTTAATAATTAAAACTCGTTTCAATCTTTACTTGTATAATTTTAAATATTCTCTCAAATATCACGGGTCCGCACGATAACCTATAAATTCCAAATAAATTATCTATTATTGTCTACGGCCATACCACGTTGAAAATACCGGTTCTCGTCCGATCACCGAAGTCAAGCAACGTCGGGCTTGGTTAGTACTTAGATGGGTGACCGCTTGGGAACACCACGTGTTGTAGACATCTTTTTGTA